ATCACGGCCTTTCCCCCTTTCTTTCAGATCAAGTGCGAAACAGCTATTACATCGGTGCAGACGGTTCTCTCCGGCTCATGCTGGCGAATGGCATGGAAGTAGCGCTGCAGACCGAACCTCATCTGCTGGCTGGCACGGTGAACCCGACGGTGGGGAAAAGGAACGTGACCCTGCCCATCGACAACGGGCTCAACCTGGTCGAATGGAGGCAGCGCAAAGAGCAGGCGAGAGGCCAGATCACGGTTTTTGGGCGCAGACTGAGGGTGAGTGCGGAAAACCCTGTGCTTTTATCAGATATTCTTAAGGTGTGTTCTCACTGTTTCTTTTGCACACTTGGAAAACTCCAGAAATCTTCCCGATATCCTTTCCAAGGCATCTAGGCCAGATGCCACCCCCACATCCTGTGGCAAGGGGTTCCACAGACTAACCACACACTGAGTCAAGAAATCTTTTATTTAGCTTGTTCTCACTCTCCCAACCCTCTATTGGAGTGAAGGTCCCCTGGTTCTAGTATTGTGTGAGAGGGAAAAGAGCTTCCATCTATACACTTTATATGAATCCCCTGCATAATTAAAGGGATGACTAAATGATCAGAGACTGAAGTTACCGTATTTTTCTGTGTATAAGACTATACTTTTGTCTAAAACCTTTAGACTAAAAATTGAGGGTCGTCTTATACAATAGTCTTATACACGGAAGTAAACTGAGGAGAGAACAAAAACAAGTGGAGGGGAAAGCAGGAATCAAAGTGATCCTGCAGGGCATTGATCACTGCTTTCCCCTCTACTTGCTAAGCCCCACTTAGATTTCTTAATTTTGTGTTATAAAAGGGGGTGTCTTATACACAGGGGAAAAATACGGTACCTAGTTACTGTATGTTGAGAGCCTAGACAACAAACACATAAATTTTTGTGTTCCTCTCCTAGATAAGTTACCATTCTTTGAAATATAAAAAATCGTCTATGTTTCTGCATCTGCACATACAGAGCAGTCTTTTCCATTTTATACAGCTCATCATCCTACTTTTTTGGTAATGTGTAAGTGGTTACCCTACCGGACAACACGGGAGGCCCGCAGTTATAGACACAGCGGGCAAGGTATTTTCCCCTCAAAAGTTTATGCTTTTCCTTCCTTCTGTGACTCCCATCATCCTCCCAGCCCTTTTGAACCACTTATTGGTGCCGCATTTACTTTCAGCCACGTTGCGAGCGACCAGCGCCTTTAAGTACCCTTTGAGCTTCCCTGTTACCTCTCGACCTTTTATTGGTCCTGCGCCTGTCGCAGATCAATTGTCTCGCTCTTCGGTTGGGTTAAAAATCCATAAGAAACGGTTTACACACTCTTTCGATCGAAAACCCTTGCTGTTAATACCGCTTTGGATAAAGCCGGGTCCTTCGCACATAATGCAAACTTTTGAAGATATGCGATAAAAGCCCTTCAGAGCACAAGTCCATTACTGAATCATTTATTTTGTTTATTTCACCTGAGATGTGCAAGCGGAGGTTTTGTCTTGATTATTTCATCAAGTTTCTCCTGGCAAGAGAAAGCAGGAGTGGCTGTCGCATCCCACCCACCTGCAGGACGGAGATTCACTGCCAACTCTGAGGGGCTTCCGTCTGGCTAACTGGCGCATCCTCACCATCCAAAATTCTGCATGGTGCATAATCAAGCTTGCCGTGGTTTCGCCGGAAAAATAACCTCACGGGTTGTTGTAGTTTTTGCTCTAGTTTTTAACTAAGTGGTGGTAATTTACTGCTCTTTAAATGTAAGCTTTCTTGTTTCAAGGTACTTCACATTGCATTCATGGTATAAATGTTTTCCTCCGCCCCAAGACCTTATAATTCTTACACAAACATCCTGCAGCGTAAGGTTTCTTTATCTTGTACTTGAGCCATAGGTCGGAGGGTGGTTAGTAAAGAAAATGTGTAAGGCAGGAATGGAGCAAAAGGGGTAGATTCCTATGTGGAAATTTAAGAACATGATACAGGGTCGAGCTTTTAGGAGGCAGCTCTCTCACCCGCTTACTCAAATGTTAAGACCTTCAGGAGAGGCGTTCCTCTCGGTCCTGCCACCTTCACAGGTGCATTTGGTGGGGACACTGGAGAGGGCCTTCTCTGTGGCAGCTCCTCTAGACTCTGGAACTCCCTCCCACTGGAGGCCAGGCGGGCCCCATCTTTGCAGTCCTTCCGCAGCCAGGCAAAGACCTTTCTCTTCAGGCAAGCCTTCCCTGAGTGAATGGCGGCTGAGTGGGGTTTTTTAAATGGATTGTTGTACCTTACTGCTTTGAATCTGTTTTGGTGTTGCTTGTAGTTTTTTGGTATTGTATCCGTTGATCCTTTTAGTATTGTATACTGTTCTTTGCTTAAATACTGACTTTTAATTAAGCCACCTTGGCTCCTTTTTAAGGAGATATGTGGATTACAAATAGTTAAAAATAAATAAATAAATAACATCCCCCAAAACAAACATCCAAAGCTACATAAATTACTGAGAGCTGAATACTTGGTCTCCCCATATTATT